AGGGAAAGCTTTGTCCATCTGTTAACAGGGTGACCTGTCAGAAACTGCTGGATCTGTATGCAGCGGCCTTGTGTCACTGAACCGCAGCTGGCAGCCTTCACAGTGAAGAATCTTCTGGCCCTGGGCTGCCTGCTGAAGGGCAGAAAGGACTATCAAAGACTTTCAGTTTCAGCTGAGCCATGCTTAAGCAAGAAGGCCATAGGGGGACATAGGAAGCCACCATATACGGAGTCAGACTGTTGGCCCAATTTAGGTCAGCATTGTATACACTCTGGGAAAGCCTTTTAACAAAAACATCTTCAGTAGGTGCCTAAACACTGGGTGCCTGTCTAATTCCTGCTGGTAATCTATTCCAGAGGGCTGGCACTGTGACATTAAAAAGTCAGTTTCTAGTACAAAGTAATTGCATCTTTGAGGCATGTGATACTCTGAGCAGTGCCCCATCTGAGTTCACTTGCTAGACAGGGATATACTGTATGTGACAAGGTGGATCCATTAATTCACCTTGCTCCAAGTTGTTGAGACTTGCATACTGCCTGAAAGTCCGAAATGTAAAATCATTGCACAGCTACAAAGTTCATGGAGGATGACCTCAACATTCACCCATGTTCAGTGTTGTGCTTCTCCATCCAACACTAAGTCACCTTAGGACAAAACTGATGCCTAACTAGCTGAAGATCTGGACATTGCCCTAAGGCAGGAAGCCCTTTAAAAAAAAATGAGTACCTGGAGAGGAATTTTGCCAGCTATTTCTGACAGCAAGTACCAGGCAATCTGATAGCAACAGGTCATTGTGCCACTTGATGGGAATGGCAAATTTGCCAGGTGAGGGGAGCATCCGTCTCAGCATTGCTTGCTACAGATGAGTGAAACACTAAAGCTTTTGATATAATATGTACTTATATCTGGTGTCAGTTGTTCACTTTGTGGATGATTAAGTGCATATCACTCCAGAGCTCTCCTCCCTCAATAGTGGCATTCAGAATACAACAAAGAAGAAAGTAACTGAAGATCAACTTGGGGGGAAAAAAACAATTTTCAAGCATCATTTTTTATGTCTGCAAGCATCACATTTGCGGAGTACACAACAGATTCAGGAACAATAAGTGATCATTCTAACTGTCAAAAGGAAACGTGTTCCTTTACTAAGACAGGCACTTCCATGTGATTCAGCCATTTTTTTCTGGATTCAGCCCCTGATTCTTGTATAGTTGTATTTGTTGAGGGCAAGGATGGGAGAACCTGTCAATTTCAGTTTTTATCAATTTGTTATTTTTCTACTCTACAGTTCTCCACATTTCCATACCAGTTTGCATTAAAAAATGGGGGGGTTCTCATGAACATTCGTAGACATTTTAGTGTGAATTTCTCCTCATACACACATTTTTGTATGCAACCTTGCCTAATATACTCATTTTGCAAAGCATTTTCTAAAATAATCAATTTTTGTCTATTCTTTTCACTAAGACATGCATTTTTATGCACCTTCGTATATGTATTTTTGTATACATTACATTTTAAGAGAACTGCATTGCAAAATTCAGAGAAGTACAAATTTCAAATGATAGCTAGCTGCATTTCCGTTTGTACATTGTTTCGGAAAGGGAAGATTAGGTAGGTTCATATTAAACATGAATTGAGTAGAATTTCTTCCCCATCCCTAGTTATGGTATAGAACTTTCCCCTTCAATTCCAATGGAGAAAGCAGTTTTACACAAATATGTATCTTAGCTTTGTGATAATCTCTGCAGTCTCTAGTGTCACCATTGATCTTTGAGAGTCAGTGTGGTATAGTAGTAACAAGTGTCAATCTAGGATCAGTGAGACCCACAGTCACAAACTTCATTGAGTGACCCTGGGCCAGTCACTAACTCTCAGATAAACTATCTTGCATGGTGCTTACGAGAATATATGGGGGTGCTATGTATGCCATGCCACCTTAAGTTGCATTGCAAAAAGGCAGATATAAACAAAAGGAATGAAAATAAAATTATGCAATGTTAGTATAATGTGTGGCCTCAGAATGATTACTTCTCTTCCAGTAACCAAGTTGAAACCATGGAAATATAATAACAAGTTGGTCTGTCCACACTTGGGATAGTCTCATACTTTATGTTTTATGATACACCTTAGAAATGCAACATGTGATTCTTAAAAGTACATGTCTGATAACAAGCATTCACTGGCAATAGGCACCTATTTCTTATTCTCATGGCTCCTTTAGTTATTGCTGAGACTTTTCTCTGTGCCAAACTACACACGATGTTAAATATACATACATAAATGTACATATTTATCTACTGCTCTATCTATGTCATTTATATACCTTAGATAAGCGTTTCTAGGCAATGTAGATAAAAACAGACCATAAATAGTAAAACAATAATCATTCACCATAAAGCCAAATGTAAAACTGATCACTACTTTAAAATGCCTGCTGGAATAAGAAAGTCGTTGCCATGCACCTGAAGTTCAACAAGGACGGTGCCAGTCTGATCTCATTTTGGAGGGACCACAGCTACGGAAGCATGTTTTCTAATAGTTATGAGCTGTGTAGCTTAGCCCCAGGAGGAAAATTTCCACTGGCATCAATGGAAATTTTCCCTTCTGGCACTAATAGTAGGGCAAATATCCATGTGTCACAATCTCTACCCCTCTCCCATGGCTGCTATTTAAAGATTAAAAAGTGTGCACATTAAATGCCTATAGGCCTTTGACTAGCATGGCATCGTTTTCAGGTGCCTTCCCACTTGCCAAGGTCATGGCACACTTTGGTTTGCATGGGCTGTATGTCAAGCTACCTGTATCTGGAAATTTTGAGAGACATTTGTTCCATGAACACACAGCTTAGGATAGAGTCTCCTCCACTGTGACATTTGCTTGTCCCTCTCTGTGATCATCTTGGCGTCTGGTGCCCTAAAGGGAGTGGGGACAACATCAACTGCACCAGTGCAAAGGTTTTTCCTCACTCCTCTCATACATCAAGCAAAGCCAAACACCGTTTGCATTTATTGAACAGGTCAGTCCAGTACTTACTTGCACAGCAGTCTTGGCTGCTTTTCAGCACTGAACTCTTTTGCCGAGTTCCTTGAAAGTTTTGCTCGTTTATCGGTTTAAATGGGCTGCTTCCTTTGCTTTAATCACTGGCACAAACTTTGTTTGAGCAGGTCTCAAACCCAGCCTTGTAGAAGGTCTTCATCTAGTGAAAGGGAGCCACAGCTGTCTCACAGATGCAATTGTTAAAGGAGCCTGGGATTCAAGTGCTCACCATTGGTCCATATAGCTCAATATTGTCTACCAGACATTGAACCTGGGACCTTCCATAAGCAAATCAGATGCTCTACTACAGAGCTATGGCCCTTCCTGTAGGACGCCATGAGTGAAAAAGCTGGCAGAAGACAGATGGGGTGTTCTGGCCCTCCATTCCTCCACACCAACGCAAATAGCCAGCAGGCTGTTGGAGAAGAGGCCAAGTTTTTATCCCACCTCTGTCAACCCCCAACAGGCTAATTTTAAAAAATGCAGGCTAGTAACTTTAGTAGACTTATTTACAAGGCTGTTTTAAAGAGCCCCAGACTTTGTAAACATTCCCTTGGAGGACTCTTTAGATATTATCTGCTTGGTAGTCTCTGCTTGACAGTCCCAGATGCCTTCCAGATTTTCACACTGCGAGTGTTGAAGCAGAGCTGCTGTGAGCACTGACTAGGGTGCAGTTAAATTAATAGACTAAAAACCTTTTTAAAAAGAGACAATGGTAAACACACTTTCTAGGCTAGAGACTAAATTTTACTGAACTCAATAGGATTGCCTCCTGAGTAAACATGTTTAGGGCTGCATTATAAAAAGGATTTCCTAATTAATCAGGAAGCAAGTTTTTAATTAAAATTTTGAATATTTTTGTGTTTATTTATTACAAAAAATTCTCTAATCTGAGCCTCAGAGACTCAGAAGGGCCCCTCTCTAGACTACATTTCACAAGGGTAGGGTATTGCATTCTGGGTAAATTAAGATGGAAAGCATCCACTGCAGATGGGAGCCAGTATTAGATCCAATTCAAAAGCAGCACCTCCGCCCAGCCATCAAAGAGAGATGCCCAGGGGTCTCTGGGGGGTGGGTGGTCAGTGATAATGATGCTTCCACCTGCACAGCAGCAGGAATGACAAAGGGGGGAAATATTGCACAGCCACATGGAGGGGGTGTTGGGGGACTGGGAGCCCAGTGGCAGCGCAGTGTTGAGGATCCTCTCAAGTCTGGTACTAGCCCTGTAAATAACCAGTCCTGTTATACAGGACAGTTTTGCCCTGCCTGACAGATTGCTCACCATGTATGGAGAACACATCATCAAGCTAGTTTTATTTGGTTAGCTCAGAAACAGTAAAGTATTTGAGCTGTTCTGAGCATTCCCTTGCTTTCAGCAGATGGCAATCCCGGAAGTTATAGGAATAAATATTAGAGCTACTGTTCCCCAATTAAAAAAAAAAATGGATGAGATTATCTGCATACATTTGCATATGTCTAAAACAATGGTTTGGAATGGAAAAGGCATAATTTTAAGATGATGTGCATATTTATTTTTAAAAAGTTAATTGTGTTAAATTTAGAACATTTCAAAGTGGTATAACAAGAATTTAACACATCTGTATACAATAAAAATGCAGTTCTTACCATTCACATAAAATAACAGTATACACAGCTGGGATCAATCCTCTAAGGCGGCTTGTCTAAATTTTTTTAAAGTCTTCAGTGGGCATCAAAAACCTAGTACTGCTGGTGCCTGCCAAATGTCCACCAGGTCAGATTTTCCACAGGTCTGGTTTTGCAGCGCCAAAGGCCCAGCTCTGAGATACTATGGGAGGGTTTCTAGAAAAGTTGCTCAATATGACAGCTTTTAAAATAGCTGAAGCAGCAAAATTCATGCAGAAACACCAAAACTATATTATACATGTATAACTATGTACTAGTAAGCAGAGCAAAGGCTTTTTATCTTATTTTTCTTTATTGTATTAAAACATATATGCCCCGCCTTATTTCCAAGGAAGTCAAGGGGGCATACAGCATTCTCTCGTCCCTATTTAATCCTCACAACAACCTGGTGATGTTGCTTAGGCCAAGATTCTGCCACTGGCTCAGGGTCACTCCAGGTAAGCTTTGTGACTAAGTGGAAATTTAAACCCTGGTCTGCTAGGCCCTAGCCCAGTGTTTCTCAAACTTGGGTCTTCAGATGTTGTTGGGACTACAAAACTCCCACCAGCCCTAGCTAGCAGGACCAGTGGTCAGGGATAATGGGAGTTGTAGTCCAACAACTGCTGGAGTTCCAAGTTAGAGAAACACAGCTAGCCCAACACTCTAACCACTATACCACACTGGCTCCCCAGTGCTGGGCATGCAAAAGCTTCAATCCCTGGCATCTCCAGTTAAAAAGACCTGGTAACTGAGGTAGGGAAGACATAATGCATATACCCTGGTAGACAATACTGAGCTGGATAGATAGTCTGACCCTGGTACAAACCAATTTCCTATGCACAAATAAGAACAGTCCTCTTCCACTGATGTGAAGATGCATTCCACATCACTTGCATAACCCCATAGCTGCCAAATACAAAACACAGGTATTTTTTTGTAACCTGTGCCCAAGCTGCTTTTGAGAACATTCTAGGTGTTTTATTTCATTCAGTCCCTTTTGAGTTCTGAAGAAAGAAGCAGCTTAAGTCAGGAAATTAACATCTGATTCTCAAAAAGTATCCAGGTTTTGTACTAGGTTGCCATCACCTACAAATAGAGTCAGAAGAATATTATGCCTTAGAAATATCTGTCCGCGATGCAGCTAAATGTGTCACAGTTGCTTTTAAACTTAAATTAAAAGCTAAAACTCAGCTATTATTTCAACATTAAAGGAAGAAAAAAGTTACCCTCCAGCAGATCTGTGCCACTTGGAATCCTTTCGAAAAGTGACTGATCAATTTTCAAAGTGCGTTATGAAAGGACACTACAAAATACTGTTATAAATGTCTTCCTGTTATTTCTCTATTAAAGATAGGAAGGAGACAGACAAAGCCTACTGATGTGAAATCAGCAGGAGCTTTGCCCACTTAAAGTTGAAATCTGCTTCTTGATTCCATCCTGAGGTATAATGTCACATTAGAGTAGAAGGAGGGAACTTTTTGGCCCAGTGGGGTAAGATTCTTATCTCTTCCCATCCTGCAGGCCAACTTTGGCAGGTGGGCAGAACAAGCTACCTGTTAATTACCTGATATCATATTGACATCAGGTTACTGACAGCTGTCAAAGTCCCTTGCACAGTATCTCCCAAATGCCCTACAACCAGCTTGAAACGGCTGTGCAGGGGTTTTGCCAGCCCTATGCTTGGCACTTGGGAAGTGCCAAGCATAAGGCTTGCAAAATGCTTTCTTTCCCAAGCACCCAACAGCCTGCTGGTTGATTAGAGCTTTCTGATTCATGGTTAGAGGTTTCATAGTTAACCTTGTGCAAAACAGTTAAGTAAATTAACAACTTGGAAAACAGGCACCATGTGGCTCTGTAATGATAAACAGAACATAACTCTCAGTGGTGACCATCCTTATTTTTGGCAAGTGTGCTGCATCAAATCCAAAGCATGAAGGAGTGCACTTGATAATCATCACTGCTCATCCATTTCCTCCACTTCCTAAGGATAGTTTTGCCCTAGTGCTGGAGAAGCAGTAGGTAAGTACCGTATATAAGCTTAATGGGGTGCCATCCCTCTGAAGGGCAACCTTGCTCCTGTCCAAATTGCCATAAACACCTGCTTTCTGTTTCATATGTGGTACCCATGCTTCATACTGAAGTCCGCACGGACTGTTTTGTGAGACACTTCCTCTTCATCTCCCCACCAACACTGAGGTTCCCTTTCATTCATGCTCTATCTGCCCCCATCAAGATTGTCAGGATGTATACTTCCTGTTGTGAAGGGGAGGCTTACTTCACATAGCTCTGTAATGATGCTTTGAGGACCTGCTCCCATTGCCCATTCTGTGTCTTTTACTAAGAACGTAAGAACCCTGCTGGGTTAGGCTGGTGGCTCATCTAGTCCAGGATTCTGTTCTCATGGTGGCCAACCAGATGTCTATGCAAAAGCCTACAAGCAGAACCTGGATGCAACAGCACTTTCCCACATGTGAATATTTTCAGCCACTGATACTGAGAGGCATACTACTTCCTGTACTGAAGATTGCACACAGCCACCATGACTTGTGGCCATTGGTAGCTTTGTTTGACACTGCTGGATGCTGTTCACTGAAAGTGCAAGGAAGGTTCATCCCCAAAACAAATATGCAAAAAAAACCTGAATCTTAAAAACATACCCATTTTAAGATAATCTTTTGTCATCAGCATTTCCCCTCAATTTTAATAGCTACACTAGGAACTAGTCCAAACCCTCCTTTTAGAAGTTCAGAATGAGCTACCTGCCTTTTCTGCTAGGTTAAGAACAGCTGCATGTGGTCTGTTCCAAATGCTGTGACCTAGGATGTTCCCACATATGTGCCACAACCATATACCATCTGCCAAGTTCATGGTTGCTGAGAGGGGACCAGAGACCTTCAATGCAGTCTAACAATTTCCTGTTCCTCCCCCCCCCCCCGCCAAGAGAAGCTTGTGAGGTGAGTGCTACAGGTTCCCCAAATAGAGAAAGGTCTAAGCTAGAAATAAAGAAAAAGAGATAGCTGACAATTCAAAAGCAATTTATAAGTGCAATCTTGTTTCTGCCCCATCTTTGTCATTCCAGCACAAAACCAAAACACACACAAGAGAGAGAAAGAAAAAGAATTTCAAATTAACACGGAAATGGCTTCTAAAAGGGAGGGCACACAAATCAAATCAAACAGGCTCTGTGATGACTGTCTTATAAGCATCCGGTCAGTCATAACTGGAACCCTGGGTAGCTCAGCCCTAAGCAGAAGTGAGTCCACCTGTGTTCAGTGGCTCTTACTCACAGGAAAACATGTGCAAGTTTGCATCTGCTCACTCTCTCTTCAGGCCATGTGCCAATTAGTCCATAAACATTCACCAGTTCTAGTAATTTATTCCCCCACCCACCAGGTATTATGGCATTTGATGACATAAAATAGGTTCTAGAATATGTTTTGAAAAATAAACCTTCTCCAGTTGTTTTCTGTCTTGTATTTTATTTCAGATTCACAAGCAGACCTTCTATCTTTCTTTCCTCTTTTTAGCTTTCTGATGCTGCTGAAAAACTTGGCATCCTCTCAGCAAAGGAAATATTACTCAACTCTTCAAGGATTTGCCAATCGCCTCTGCAGTGCATTGCAAGTGGCTCAGCAGGTTTTTAATATATATTTTTGCTAATCATCCACCTTGTGTTTCTAGCTCTGTTAATAAAAAAAGAAGATGGCACATGTGGCTGAGTGGGGATTTGAATTCAGCTTTAACAGATATCACTGCAATTCACAAACTACTGCCATCATAGCTTACTGGAGCATTTGCAACCTGGTACAAAAAAATCTGGAGGGCACCAGATTATTTATTTACATACACACCCCACACACAGTTTAACATGAAACATATTTATGTAGTTTACATAAAACACAGTAAAATGCTTAAAGAAATAGAAATGTCTGTACCACATTTCTGTACCACATTGAACCAAAAAAACAGAAATAACATCAACAAAAGCAGAGTATCCATTAGTAAAAAAAAAATCACTAAAACAGAGCAGTGCACTGAATTTTGTGAACCAGAGAAATCCTGCACAATTAGATGGATCTTCAGAAAGCATTTGAAACTTGCCACTGTTTCCTCCTCATAAACACCATGTAGGAGAGTGTCCCAGAGAGTAGGTGCCACTACAGAAAAGGCCCACTTTCAAGTTATCATATGATGACATTCTGCCAATTATAGATATTATGAGCAAGGCCTCATTGGAATATCTGAGAGACTGGCCAGGGAGATAATGAGGAAGGTAAGGAAGGTGATCTGTTAAGTTTCTGGATCCCAAGCTATTTTGAGCTTTACACATCAGTAATGAAAACTTGAACATGGCTTGATACCTAACAGGCAACCAGTGCAGTTCTTTCAGCACAGCTGTGGTGTGTATATAACTATGGGTCTCACTGAGCACCCTAGCTGCTGCATTCTGTACTAGCTACAGCTTCCAAATCAAGAACAACAGTAGCCCCACATACAGTGCCTTACAGTAGTCTAACTGTGATATTGTCAATGCATGATGGACCACAGTAGCACTAACACAGTCACTGTCTGGAGAGCAACTGAGTGACAGTACAGGATTTGGGTAAAGAAGGTACATAGACAAGAATCTAAATAAATGGAGGAACAGAGGAAGTATGGACCAAGGGGTAAAGGTGGGCAAACTTAATTGGGAAGGGCAACTGGAGCTGGTACTCAACCCCCCACTCAGACACTGCCCATCTTCACACACAAATTTCTGGGAATGTAAGTTTGAGATATTGAGGAATTACAGGAACCTGCCTTATACCATGACAGATTATTTGTCCATCTAGACTAGAAGTTGCCAAAGTGGTTCACTCCACATAATGTCAAGTTTCAGCTCCCATCAGCCCCAGACACCATGGCCAATGGCCAGATTTGATGGGAGTCGTGGTCCAACTGTCTATGCTGATTGAAAGCAGTTCTCCAAGATCTTAGGAAAAAACCATATAGCATCATCTGTTACTACCTGATGCTTTTAACTGGAGATGCCACAAACTGAATGGGGCACCTTGTCAATGTGACACATATGCTCTACCACTGAGCTACAGTCCTCACCAGCCATCAGACCTGTATTCAGTGCTTTTTTTCTGGGGGGATATAGGGGTACGCATCCCTCTAAACATTTTGTGAATCTTTGTACTTTTGTCTATTTACTGTATTTATTTTTCCTGATTTGAACTATAAAATGGTGGTTTTCTTGAGTCAAAATGAGAGTACCCACTTTTTAAGAGAAAAAAAGCACTGCCTGTATTCATGCTTTGAACTTCTTTAGTATCAGACATGCCACTTGTGGGGGTCACCAAGAAGGCACTTCTGAGTTGTTTTACTACACCGGCTTGCTTGCACTTTTATTATGTTTTGTCTTCAGAGGGTTTCCTAGGTTTCTGCCCAGTAGCACTGAAACAGTCTGAGTGCCCAGGGCAAAATTAAATTACTTTTTTCTTCTTCCGCCATGGTGATTGTTTTTTTACGTCCCACCGCTCTCAATTTTCAGTAAGTGACTCCAGTTTCCCCCTTCTTAAATGCCCTACCAATCCTTGAAATTTATTGGTGGTACCAGGACTAAAAAAGACAATACAAAATGGCACCCCCTTCCCAAAGTCACAATGCAAAGTTTCAAGGCACAGGAAAGGTTGCTTTGGCACCTTAGGCAAAAAAATCCCACAGGCACATCTCCACCTCCCTGGCAGTAAAAATGCAAGAACAATACATTAAACAAGTCTCAGTTTGCTGCCCCTTCCTGTCACCCTATTTAGCTGCCTCTCTTTGCCTAACAAGGTTCTTATATAACATATCATTTTTCAGAATTCCAAGTGCAACTGGACCAGGTCGCTTTAGGAAAGCAATGGAGGGCTATTTGGGGCCTCAGATCCTCTGGACAATGCTGATGATGTGTTATGAACAAAGCAGAGGATTTCTTTAAATGAGCTGTCTGCGCTGATATTTGTCTGAACAGCTTAGGAATTCCTTACCTCTGTGAAAATCAGTTTGGCTCGACCAAGCTGAAAAGACATGCAATCTATTATGTTTTTCATAGCAGACTGGCTCAATAGACAGGAAATCATTTGACAAGTAAAGCAGTAGGTACAATTTTTCAGATTTTGTGTTTGTACACACGAGTTCACATGCTTTGCTTGCATATTTCACTCTCTTACAAAGGACACTGGAAGGATAGGAAAGATTTTCAGACCCTCTCATTTTGCAACTGCCAAATCCAACAATATACTGTTAAGTTTGCACTGCTATTAATCTCTCTGCTTGAACTTCTATCAAGCAGTGCTTTAAATATTAATTGATTTTTTAAACGTTAACTTAATTTTTGAACAAAGGTTTAAATAATACAATGGCTTGGATCCAGAGTTGCTGAAGAAGAATAAAGACTGTAGAAGGGGACTTTCCCATCCTCTCTACTCCATTGCTGCCACCTGCGCGCGCGCACACACACACACCCTTAAAAAAGAAGAGCATCTCTGGAAGATTGCTGGGCTCTGTTGGACAGTGTGAGAGGCATGGCACGCCCCAATACATTTTGCTAGCTGAAGCAAAGAGCAAATTCCACAGCCAGGAGCCAAACAGACTGGCCACTGCATCTTGCTTCAACACTGGCAATGAGAGAGAGAGCATCCTCCACCACACCTGAGGGCAGAAGGCTAGAAGGGGAGAGGAGGAGGCCATGGCAGGCCATGTGTCACACGTGCCTCTGTCCTCCAATTTCTTGCACCCACTCACTCGCAACTCCACCTGGCACCTGATCCCAGGCTGCTCAAACAAATGTTGTAACAGGTTGGCAACAGCATAAGAACACGTCACCAGAGAATGTGTACGCATTTGCAATGCCATTTTAAGTACCAGGCAGACACAATGCCTGCTCACTCGGGTCAAGGGGCCTTCCCCCCCCCCAGTGATGTCTCTGTCAGGAGCTCGTCCTACTCTTGAGTAGGACCCTGGCAGAGACACATGCCCAACTGGCATGTTCTCTCACTCCTGGTAGTTCATTCGGGAGCTTCAAAAGCTTTCTTCTGCACGAACATCACAGCAAACGATGCCAAGAGACACCGGCACACTTAGGGATCTGCAGAGTCTTCGCAGTTCACGTGACAGACCTCAGCAACTCAGCATTTTGGCTAATCTACTTTATTTACAAATAAACACACACGAAGCACTGCAGCATGGCTCCCTATCTCTCTAGCATCAGACAGCAAAGAGAAAGAACAAAGGATAATAGTCCCACTTCACGGAACACAGTAACACAAACCTCCTGTCTCTTCCCACTTTGTGCAGTCAAAACATACACCGTCATGTGATAGACAAAAATCCCATGACTGCAATCATGGAGCAGGAATTCTAACAGTCTGTGAGACATTAGGAGAAAATGAATAGGCAAGACAGGCAACCTAGCCCAGGTCAGCAATGAACAACCACCGCCAACTCCAGGGTGACGGCTCTGGAGG